TAATCCACATTCATTTGATTGTTTTTTATTCCTTTTGTTAAATTGTTTTTTTCTTTTCAATTTACCCTTCAATCAAAGATTAAAATTTATTTTATATTTTAATTTTTATCCTCATTTATTTGATTGATATTTTTGGTTTTTAATCTTTTTGTATAATTCATTTTTTTTTTAATTTTATCTTTTAACATTTAATTGATTGAGAATTAAGTTTCTTAGTTTTTCAAGATGAGGTACTTTCAATCTAATGACCTGGGTCACAGGTTTAAAAAGTTAACATAGGTTGATATTTTTTTTAAAAAAATTATTGTGATTTTCTTTCTTATCAGGTTATCTTGATTTCATGCTCTGAATCACGTGTCTGGTGAGATGACCCTATTAGCTTGGCCTCAATTATTAGGGTTACATGTTTGTCATTCTAACTCGAGTTGATTTCACCCATTATTTTAAGTCATTTTTTCACCTAATTTTATCCTTATGTATTTAATGGGATGATAATTGAGCTATATCATTCATCTCTTTTTGAAAAAATATTGTTGTCCAAGTTATTGTGAGTATTTTTTTTATTTGATCCATATGATGTCGTTATTAATTTTTTATCTTCTAATTAAAATAAAACCTACTTATTTAACTATCATAAAATTGAAAAATACAAATGAAAACGTTAACAAAAATATTTCATTTGTATATTACAATGATTTTTTCTCATTAAATATACCCTCATAGTAGCTATCTATAAACATCAACAAAAATATTTTCTTGTTATGTACAAAAGGAATTACAGTGAGAAAAGAAGGAAATAAAAAAACCAAAATAGACGATGATATATTGTTTTTATAGATAGAATTATCGACAATTTAAAATCTTCGATTAAATTCATCGGTAAACCCATCTGTACTATTTAATTTATAACATGACAAGTGATCCCTACCTATTTCTTCTTCCTCCTCCATTTTATTTACAACAAACACCACAAACCTCCTCTAATTTTATTGCAAATCAACCTCTCACTATAAATTCAATCATCCCAACACTTAGTTTGTTAGCATTCTTATTCTGATTCAAATTTTATTGAGGATTCCTTACTTTAGTTAAGCGAAACTATTTATTTTTTATTTAACTTAATTTTTATTGTATATTTTTGTAGTATATGTATTTTGTATGGGTGCTTACTTATTTTATAGTTTTTTTCATAGAAATTCATTGTATAAATATATGATTTGTACATTTTAGGGTTTGTTTAAGATTTTAAAAAATTGTATTTGTATGTAACTTAATAAAATTTAATTTGAATTTTTAACTTAGGAGTTTTGTGATGAAATAAATAATGGTTTATTTAACAGATCTATTTAAAAAAAATTTCAATTTTATTGTTGGGTTGAGATTTTTGGTAAATATATAGAAAGTAAAATTTATAAAAATAATTGATAATGAATTAGTTGTATTCTTAAAAAAGTTTGAATTAGTTTGAGTTAAATCAATGTTATGTTATTTATTTAGTTTACATAATTAATTAATATATGGTGTCATCAATATTCTATATAGGTTTTATTAATTATGCACTATCTAATTCGAGAAATATTAGTGGAGGCAATATTAGATTTCTATGTACGAGGTGTAAAAATAAAAAGTCAGTCGATATAGATGTTGTAACGATGCATCTTTTATAAAAATAGTTTGTAGAGAGATACATGTGTTGGTTTACACATGGAGAACCACATGTTCCTCACTAAACCATCGTATAAAGGATAGCTAGGTCAATTTCTAGTTTTAACAATGTGAATGGAGTTATAGATGACAATAGTAATATTTATAGAAATGTGGTTATAGATGTGATGAGAAAAAATTAGGGTCATGTTAGTCAATATCCAATAGTAGATAAAGAATCTAATACAGATATGACCAAGTTTTTTTTTTTTTTAATGTTTTGAAAGATTCTGAGTAGATAAAGAATCTAATACAGATATGACGGAGTTTTTTTTTTTAATCTTTTGAAAGATTCTAATAAACTATTATGGGATAGGTGCACAAATCACAGTAAATTATCTGTCGTTATATATGTGTTCACCATCAATTCAGATCATAGGTTGAGGGAGTCTGGGTACAAAATAATTATCAAACAAGAGAAAAAGATTTTAACTGAATAAAATAAGTTGAAATAAAACTTTTATGTTGCTAAATCTATGATGACTTAGGTTACCAAAAAATTAATATTTGTCTAAACTTCTACATGTTGTACTATCTTGAAAATACAGAGTTGACTGAGTGATGCTACACCCTTTTAACTATCTTGAAAATACAGAGTTGACTGAGTATAGAACATGTGGGCTTATTTATTATAAGCCCAAAACTGATAGAGAAAAGTCTCTTGTTTCATAAAAAAAAATTAGATACTTTTCAATCATACCTAGACTGCAAAAGTTATTTATGTCACTAAAGACTACTAAGCATATAACATGATATCATTCACATGATTTGGTGGAAAGAGTGATGCTACACCCTTCTGATAGTGAAGCTTGGAAACATTTTAATAAGGTATATCCTCAGTTTTTAGTGTAATCAAGGAATGTGTATATTAGATTATATATAGACAGATTTAATCTATTTGTGTTATTTTCTGCTTTTTATTCTTGTTAAGTAGTGATACTCTCATAGTTTAAAACTTATCATTGGGGATGTGTATAGGACTGAAGTTTATGTTTTTATCTACGTGTTAGAATATAAATGTTTGTTTTCGTTTACTATTTAATGAGTTGGCCAATCCAAAAGCATGTGAGAGTACGTGAGAAAGGATGAAATTAAATCATATGAGATCAGTATCTTCGACATGATTCAATTGACTTGGCCGATCCAAAAGTAACCTGACTGATTAGTAAAAAAAAAAGGTTGAAGATGAAATTAAAAGGAAAAATGTTGAGATTGACAAACAAAAAAAAAATCTTCTAACCCAACTCTTCACCTAACTCAAATTTAAAATTAAACCATGCAGAAGATAGCCCGACATGATTCAATTACCTTGGCAGGTCCAAAAGTAAGGCAGACTACTATTAAAAAACATATGAGGAAAGAATTGAGAAAAAAAAATTGACAAGATTAAAAATAAAAGAGAAATGAGAGATGAAAAAGGAAAAGAAAAGGAAGAAAAAAAGCTCACCTACTTTTATTGTTCATATGAACCATATAAGAGATGCATTGCACATTTTTAGTACAAAGAAGAACTTGTTTTATTCTTTAAGCTACGTTGTGGGATGAATCATTTTCGTAACACAAAAAATGGTGTAGGTGTTGTTTCAATTTATTTTTTTTTACCATCAAGATAAAAGTTTAAACATGCATTCAATAAAATAAATTGAGAATTATATGTATTGATAAATGATAATAATTTTTTTTATTCCAAAGTTTATACATGCACTCAATAAAATAAATTGAGAATTATATCTGAGTCCCAAAAGTTTTGATTGGTTTGAATCAATAAAATTAATTTTTTTAAAAAAATTAAGCATTAAGTGAATATCAAAACTTATTTTTTACATCGCCGAAGTCTCGTATAAAGCCAACTGAAATAAAATATCAAACTCAATCCTAAGTCAATTTAATGTGAAAGTATTAAATTGAAAAAAAAAAGGGTCAAGTGACAATTAAAAAAAAATTAAAGAGAAAAAAAGAAAAAGAAAACAAAGTTGGTAACAATTGCAATCCATATTGAATTGTCTTTTTTCTATGTTGTGTTTTGATCATATTTTTTTTTAATATTTCTTTGTTAAGTTAAGAGAGTGATTTGTATGTGAATTTCAATAGTTGCCACCATTCTTTCTATTTGTTCTTGGGTTGTGTACAATACTAAAGTAAAATATACTACACATAATAATTATTCCTATATATACACACACATATATGGAATCTAATTTAATCTCTTTCCATAATATTCTTTAATTTCATATTGTCTCGTGTGTTCATGATTTTAAATATTATTTTATAATTTATTGAGTGTCCATTTTATGAAGCCAAACTATAATTTAAATAGAAAGGAAAAAGAATTAAAAAAAAACAATGTGAATGAAAAAAAAGTTTGAGGTGGTATATTGTTCATGATCTAAATATCATTTCATGGTTTGAGGTGGTATATTGTTCATGATCTAAACATCATTTCATTTCATGATTGAGATAGCATCATATTTGCAAAACCAAAATATAATTATTAAATAAATAAAAAAACATCAATAAATTAGAGGTAGTTAACTATTGATATGAACAATGTCTCCACCTCAAATCTTTTGATGTTTTTGTTAATAAAATCAAAATTCTTTTGATGTTACCATTTGGAGAAATAAAGGCATGTGTGGATTTCCAAGCCTTGATTTCAATTCAAGCTAAAAGTTTCAAAGAAATTTGGAATGATAGGAAGGTAGCCAGGAGTGGAGACAGATCAGAGAGAATTATCCTTCCCGTGAGGAAAACTTGGAGGCATTCAGAAAACACAACTGGAACATGCTTTTGCTACTTTCGATGGTGTTCGATCACGAATAGATTCCTACCTCTCACGTTAACCCCACCATCGCCACTCAAAATCTTTCTCTATACTATATAGTTTATGTGTGTATGCCATCAAATCACTCCATGCAAAACATCTCTTCCGCTGATTTCTTGCTCTACATATATATATCACCATAGTTGTAAAATTTAATAGGGAGGGATGGGACACCTTGATGACGTATTGATCCTGAACTTACGTTATGTATATATGACCTATTAATTCTTAACTCTTAAATTGATTTGGGCTGAGTTTTACAAAAGAAATACGAAAATGATATTATTTTAATATTATAATAAGGATTTTTTAAATAATCAAGACCCGAGTTGGGTATTATTTCAGTCTGTGATACCTAAAATTATTGCAGTGTTAGAACAAATTACGCAAGTTAGTAAAAAAAAAAAGAACTTCAAGATTACAATTTGGAATCGCACAATTATTTATAACTACAAAACTTCGTTTTCTTTCCTATTTAAGCTACCAGTCAGCCACACAAACTTGGGAGAAAGTGGGAGTGAGAAAGAGAAGTCATGGTTTCTAGGGAGCAAAAAAGGGCAGCCAAGCAAAAGAAGCTGCAACTTCTTCGTTCCATCACCAACTCTCATGCGGTAGTGTATATATATACTCTCAATATCGTTAACTAAAACAACTTCTCCTTGGCTTGCTTGCATGCATGTCCTTTATCTTGGTCAAAAGAAAAATTTACATTCATCATCATCATTCTCTTCTCAGATTCTGTCAAAAGCTTAAAGTTCATCATCATCATTCTCTTCTTCTTCTTCTTCTCGATTTTGTTTTTTTCTTATGGTTATTATGATAGTAGTAGTATAACTAAGTGCACTATATTGATCTAGTATGTGTTTTATCAAAGATTTGATGAAGAATATGGTATGCTATTGATTACTATAGTTAGGCTCTTAATTAATTTTCTTGCTATCAAATGGGTTCTAAATTAAATATATCATTTATTAATCATCCATGTTGTTACCTGAGAAGCACGACAAAGCCTCAATCATATTAGATGCATCAAATTACATAAAGGACTTAAAGCAAAGGGTAGAAAAATTGAATCAAGACGTTGCTACTGCTGCAAGCTTTACTAGCCAGAATTTCCCCACGGTATGGTATTGAATTCTTCACCAATATATACTCCTGTATGAAGAAAATTGTTTGCGAGAAATTAATGGGTTTCTCTGTGACCTTAACTTGGTTTTTGTTTCTCTCTTTTAACATTATCAGATTAGAGTAGAAGAACAAGAGAATGATTTTCTGATTAAGGTATTCACCGCAAGGAATTGCCAAGGATTGCTTGTATTCATATTGGAAGCTTTTGAAGAGCTCGGCCTTGAGGTGCTCCAAGCTAGGGTTTCTACTTCGGACAGCTTCCTTTTAGAAGCTATTGCTACAAGAGTAAGAAGACAAGTATAGATTTTATTTGCTACATAACTTTATGCACAAATTACATATAATCCATGCCCTAGCTATTTCTCTTACACACGAGCATGCACAAACACACATAGATTGCACGTAAAGTTTTTTATGTGTAGCTAATGAACCTGTAGGTCTCGGATTCGAGCCTCTCCTTTGAAACCATAAAAAGTTTCTCTTGTGTAAAAGATTTATTAGTTCAAGAAGCCAGTGATCATTAATGAATTTGTTGATGTCACAGGAGAATAAAGAAGCTGATGACCATATCGATGATCAGGTGGTAAAAGAAGTAGTGTTGCAAGGGATACAAAAATGGATTGAAGTTCATGAGCAAGAATGAAGCAAAGCAGTTGCTAGCTAGCTAGTAGCCAAGCAAGCATGGGTTGCTTCTTTCATCTCTTGTCATCACATGTCAATCGATGATTTTTGATATGCAGTAGACAAAATCCAAAAGCTGGACCTGCAATATCGATCATATAAATTTGCATCATGTGAATCAATCTGTTTTTATGTACAATGAGAAACAAATGGAAACAAAATGTTTTGATTCCTTCACTTATTTATTTTCTTTCTTTTATTTGGCATTTCTCCTTCACGAAGCAATCATCAAAGTTTTAAATGAGTGACTTGTGATGTAATTTAAAGGCAATAATGTAATTTGAAGGCAATAGTAGCATTTACTCACACTATTAGAATTTTTATTTTTAGATTTATTGATGAGATTTTTTATTTATAATTATACTCAAAGTTTGTTAATAAAAAACTTACCGACATGATCATAGATGAAAATAATTTGTTAGAAAAACTATCGTTAGTAATTTATGGTGTATTGGTAATGAAGTCTGTTAGTAATAATTTTATAAATAAATTTATCGACAGTCAAAGCAAGCAAAAAAAAACTTTACCTGATTTATTTTGTTGGTACTTTCTTTGCTAAATATAACATATTATTAATAAAAAATCATGTATCATTTCATTGGTGATTTTTTTTGCTTGTCAATGAATTTGACATATAACCATCAAATAAACTGTTTGTTATTCTATTGATGAGTAAATAGTGGTATTTACAGTAATTATTTTTCAACTCTCTGAAATATACTAACGGATAATATTCGTGGTAACCTTGTCAATAATAATTTTTAAATATTTTTTTTAAATCTATTAAACAGAAATAAAAAATAATTAAAAAATTAAATTAATATAAAATTAAAATATTTATTATAAATTTAAACATTTATAAGTTTAAACGCAATTACTTTAGAATAAAGGCACTGAAGCTCTCTTTCTTTCGTATATTTTTTTGTTTTTTTTTTGTGCTTCATATAAAAAATTATACAATCTATATGGAACAAATGAATTATCAATTAGTAAATAAATAAAAAAAAATTAAAAAAATTTCTCTAGATTTTAATCTTAACTTGTTACAGCGTGATTCTTCTAAACCATTTTTTTAATAATGTTGTTAGCTCTATCATATTCAAAAAATTCCTTACAGTTAAAATGAGTACAATAAAAATTTCATTAATAAGTTAATAAACTAACCAAATTAACATAATAAAAAATTATTTAAGTTAATATTAACCTTAATAAAAACATAAATTCTAACCTCATATACATTCCCGATGACAAGTTGTATACCATAAGAGTATTATTGGCCAGCAAAAATAAAGAGCAAAAAATAACCTGAAAGAATTGAATCTGTCTATAGATAACCTAATATGCATGTTTCTTGATTCCACTGAAAACTGAGATGCACCTTATTAAAATAATTCCAAGCTTCACCATTGAAAGAATGTACCATCACTTCATCTAGCACATCATGTGTTTAACAGTCTTTAGTGATATGAATAACATTTGCAGTTTAGGTGTGATTGAGAAGTATCTAATTTTTCTATATATGATAAAAGTCATTCCTCTACTAGTTTTGTGTATATAACAAGTATGCCTACATGTTCTGCACTAGGTTAAATCTAAATTTTTGAGATATTATAACATGTAGAAGTTTGAACATATGTTAATTTTCTAGTATCCTATACCAAGGGGTTTCATCATGGGTTTAACGACATAAAAGTTCCTTTCTAGCCTGTTCCCTTTAGACAAAATGCTTTTCGCTTATTCAAGAATTCTTTTATAATTAGCCTCACTCAACCTATGATTTAACTTGATGGTGAATACTTGTGTAACGAGCAATAATTTACTGTGATTTATGCACCCATCCCATATTGGTATGTCGGAGTATTTCAAAAGACAAAAAACTTGGTCGAGTCTACATTAGGTTTTTCACTTACTATTGGATATTGATTGGTACAATTCTAATTCATTCTCATCGTATCCATAACCATATTCTGATAAAGATTGTCATCGTCATCTATAACTTCATGCATATTGTTACAACTAAAAGTTGACGCAACCATCTTTTTTTACCATGATCTTGTAAGGAACATATGGTTTTCCATGAGCAAATCAACACATGTATTTCTCTATGAACTCTTTTTGTAAAACACAATTTTATAAAATTTCAAACAAACCCTAACATGTACAAATCATACATTCATATAATAAATTTATATGGAAAAGCTATTAAACAAGTAACCACCCAAATACAATACATATATTACATAAGTATGCAATAAAATTAACATTTTAAAATTGAGTTCAAATAAAAAAATGAGTAACTTTGCCTACTTAAAGTGGAGAATCCTCAATAAAATTTGAATCAGAATAAAGAGTTGATAAACTGCGTGTTGGGGTGGCTAGATTTTTAGTGGGAGATTGATTTATGATACAATTTAGGAGTTGTGGTGTTTGTTGCAAAGAAAAATAAAGAAAAAAGAAGAAATGAAGGGAGATAGGAGGGTTATTTATTAGGTCATAAATTACATATTACAGATAAATTTATCGATGAATTTAAATTCATCAATAATTCTATATGTAAAAATAATACATTATTATACATTTCGATATTTTTTTCATTTTTTCTTTTTCCAATGTAATTCTTTCGGTATATAACAATAAAATATTTTCATTAGTGTTTATTGATAGCTACCACGAGGGCATATTCAGTTGAAAAAATTCACCATAATTTACTAACATAATATTTTTGTTAGTGTGTCTGTTTGTGTTTGCCAATTTCCTAGTAGTGTCTCTTTGTGTAAATCCATCTCTAGCTAGCATATATATATATATTCATGAATGAATGAATCATGCTCTCTTTTTTAGATCAGCCACAACATAACCATGAAGGTTATATGTGATGGCTTAAATCATTATTGTTGAGGCTCACACAAGTATGAATTTTTTGGTAATATATGATTTCGTTGTTAATATTTAAGAGTTGGACCATCATTACAATGGAATTCAAATAAATAAATAAATAAATGGAAGATTATAACTATGCCCCCCAACTATTAGATAGATTTGAATTTGGTATGTCTTCTTTTTATTGAATCAATATTACCTTTAGCTTATCAAAATTGTGCCAATTATTTTCCTCCTGTTAGCTCTATGTTAATTTCCCATTATATGAGTTAATACCTATCCAATTTACCTTCTTATAACCCATAATATTTTGTTTGCCTATGCTAAGGGATGAAGCATGATTAGTCCTTACAATTATGAAAGAAAAGCATTTGGATTAATTGTGTTAAGGGATGAAATTTTTGAGATAATTATTATTTGTGTTGTTACTTATTTTTAAGCCCTCACGTGCTGAAGATATGTATCTTTTTTTAACCGAGTGTGTTGGAAGATTGACAAAAACAGGGAACAAAGAATTGTTTTTAGAATCCTATTTGAGCTATTTTCTACTCTCTTTATTCTTCTTCTTTGTTGCCAAAATCATCAGTTTTGTTAGACTGATCACAAGTCTTTATAATACTAAATTCATTTCTTCTTTATCTTGTCTTTAAGGTTGGATATATCCCTCAGAATTTGCACTAAAAAACTGATTCTGTTGCTCTTTTAATTTTTTTTTCCAATTTAGCCTTTGATTCTGACTTGGTTTCGTGCAATATATAATCATCTCAGCTCTATTCTGTCACTCATGTCATGTTAAATACTTGACATATACCTTTATTAGGTCCTAGAGATCATTGTTCTTATGACAGACTCTCAGTTATATTAAGATGCTCAACATTGTCAGTTTCCCAAATTAGATCAAGAGATCTTTTTGACCAATTAGGTTGTGGTCAGATTCTATTCTACAAAACAATTTTATCTCACTTTGGATCCTTCATAAAAGTTGTAGTCCTGTATGCGTAGATAAATTTAGGCTTTTGAATCGTTTGATTTCAATATTAGAAACTCAAGATATTCTCGTTTGAATATCTAATATGAAAGTAGAGAATTCTATCGTGAGAAGGATTCTGACCCGAGTTTTGCACTAAAAACTCTGCTTCCATCATAATTTTATTGATTTTTATTCTTAAGTTATACTCTCAGTCATATTAGGATACTCGACATTGTCAGTTTTTGAATTAGAACATTAGACCATTTTTGACCAACCAGGTTACTGTTAAATTATGTTCTCTAAAATGATTTTATCTCACTTTAAATCCTTAATCAAAGTTGTGGTCTTAGACATGTTGATGAATTTGAGCTTTTTAATCATTTAATTTCAATATCAGAACCTTAAGATATTTTCATTTGAATATCTAATGTGAAAGCAGAAAATCCTACTGCAAAAAAGAGTTTAGCCCAAGTTCGCAGGCCTGATTCAAAGGATTTCTTCTTGATTAAGAACTGAATTAAAAAGTGCTAAAATGAGGGATTTAATTAAAAAAGGATATTAGAAGCTGTAGTGGGGGTTGGATCATCATAAATCATAAGATTTCTACCACGCTAAATTAAAAAAAAAAAAGAGTTTGCAGCATGCACCTTTACCTATTTGATTTCTTTCTCTTCTTTTTTTTTTACAATTTCTTGCTAGTTTCCATATCTCTCTCACTAGATTGGAGAGCTACAAATCATGTTTTTCTTGCCTCAGTTTAAAGGAAATAACTGACGCCTCATGGTCCTAACTATATAAGGAAATAAATGAGTTGTACCACCATTTGATCACTGTAAACTAATTACTGAAATCATAATAGGAATCAAGATATTTCAGTTTCTTGTTTTGCATTTGTTTCACTGCAAATTAGTAGGGATTTTCATCCAAGAATTAGTGTGTTGAATATCTTCTAATAAAAAGCTATGATTGGGCCATATAACCCCTCTACTGACCTAGCAGAGAGGGGAGAAAAAAGAGAGAAAAAACAAGGAGAGAAAAAGAAGGTAAAAGAAACTAAAATAGGATGGAAGAAAGAATAAAAGAGAGGCAGAAAACAAGTAGAAAAAACAAAAAGAAATAGAGGGCTAGAAAAAACACAGAGAACAAGGGTTCATCTTTTCGATTGTGAAAGTCTTCATAGGAATGAAGAGGAGAGAAAATAAAGTAAGAGGCAAGCAAAACAAGGAGAAAAAAAGAGGGTAAGGAAGTGAAAAAAAAAAAAAACAAAGACAGCAAGCGGAGTGAACAACCCAAATAACAGGGGAGAACATAAGGAGTTTCTTTCCTTCATCCTTTCATTACTGTAAGAAAGGGAAACAGAACGGGGGAGAAGGAGATAAGAGAAATGGAAGAAAAAAAAACCAAAAAGAAAAGAGACATAAGAGAACAACAAAGCATTGAAGAAATCGGGATCACCAGTAGACCAAGTGTTATAACCCAATTTTGGATTCACTAAAATTTTCTCGAATGTTATTTTATTTTATTATTCATAACAAAATAATAATAATAATAATAATAATAATAAAAAGTTTAAAATATATTTTCTCGAGTCAACCGCATCTTTCAATTAAAACCGAGTCCACCAGGTCAATATGGGTTAAACCATGTCGATCGGGAGGAAAAATGAGTTTCGGGTCAAAACCATTATTTTTGGTCAAAACCGAGTCCATCGGGTCAATACAGGTTAAACCATGTCGATCGGGATGAAAAATGAGTTCCGGGCCATTTCGAGTCAAAACCGTCATTTTCGGTCAAAACCAAGTTCACCGGGTCAATACGGGTCCCACCATGTCGACCGAGATGAAAAATAATTTTCGGGCAGTTTCGGGTCAAAACCGAGTTCACCGGGTCAATACGGGTCCCACCATGTCGACCGAGATGAAAAATAATTTTCGGGCAGTTTCGGGTCAAAACCGAGTTCACCGGGTCAATACGGGTCCCACCATGTCGACCAGGATGAAAAATGAGTTTCGGGCCATTTCGGGTAAAAAATGTCATTTTCGAATCAAAACCGAGTCCACCGGGTCAATACGAGTCCCACCATGTCGACCACGATGAAAAATGAGTTTCAGGCTATTTTTGGTTAAAAAACCCGGTCTAGCGAGTTGATACCCGTATAAAGATTTTTTTTGTAATTAAAATTGATTTTTAGCTGTTGAAAAGCTTTTTATAATACTGATTTGAATTTTTAATTTTACCCCTATAAATAAATATTATTATTATATATAATAAAACAAAAAAAAATACAATTTTGTCGCAGTAGGCGGAGGATTTCTGCCGATGGTAGGCGGTGCAGCTGTACATTGAAAATTTTGCACAATCCGTGATTACTTGCACAATCCGTGATTCGTTGTCCAATGTCATTGGCTATAAATAGCCAATGAAACCAAGCCAACCAGGAAAAAAAAGAAAAGAAGAGTAATATGAATCGAGAGCTTACTTACTATTTGTATTACTATTTAATAATGTTCATTTATTTTCTACTTTTTCTTCACGCGAGTAAGATATTGATTTTTTTTTAAAACAATTTGAAAAATACCAAAAATATTCTAACCGTTAGATTTAATAGTATTTAAATCTGAACGTTTGATTTTTTAGTATACAATAGGCTTTACCACACCGGATTAAAATCCAAATTCATCTCAGCCTTTAAAATAATCTGTCCTTTGATCTTGTTGCACCACGTCATTAGGTGTACCCAACACTCGGTACACCGCGACACACCAGATCATAGGCCAGCCCATCCTGACCGTCCGATCAACTTGCAGATCAAGTTAATCCCAACCGCACGATCTGTACATCCGCGATCCAACGGTTCACAGGCTTCAGATGCACCGGTGCACCATGCTCCTGTTTGCACCATAGCAAATCTCAGAGCCCCTCTTTCCTCTCTCCGGCGATTCTCTCTCTCTCCTCCGATCTTCCATTTCCGACCATTTTAAACGGCCAAACCACCACAGAAAGGTGCATCGCCTTCTCTGGAGCAAAACCCCGACCGTTTTACGCATTTTAACCTCCGAATTTGGCTGGAAAAAGGCCACGACAGTCATCGACCAACCGAGCTTCAAGTCGACGATTCTCTCTCATTAGCCATCAACGGCCGTCGAGACCACCACCATCAGAATCCTTGTCCTCAGATGTACCAAAATCAACCATCTATTGGCTAGAATCTCACTGGAAAATTTCGCCGCCACCAACAGTAGCCGCGCGTGAGCCACACACGCCTCTAGTGGCATTTTTGTAAATTTCAGAGAAATCCGAGGGTATTTCAGTCTTTTACCTATATAGTGGCACTGAGGTAATTTTTATGGTATTTTTGATATTTTTATATATAAATACTTGTAAATTTTTTTTGCATGTTAAAAAACAAAACAAAATTAAAATAAATAACGACGCGGGTCCAACACCCATTTTATCATGTCACTGTTTATGGGTCAAAACCCGATTCTCAAAAATGGATATATCCATTTCTCAACGATATCAAAATAATTTTTGTTTTATAAAATAAATATTATTTATCGACACGTCTCTTTTATTTACAGAAAAGG